ATTGTATATTTTATTCTATTTTATTCTACTGCATATAGTATTTTATTTTATTCTATTCTGTACAGTTGTGTACTGCATTTATATTTATTGTATTCTAATTTTTGCTTCATAACTTTGCACTGTCCACTTCCTGCTGTGACAAAACAAATTTCCCACGTGTGGGACTAATAAAGGTTATCTTATCTTATCTTATCTTATGAAATTCTGAAAAATATGGACACATAAAAAATCTTTAAAGATACAGTAAGTAGTTTTTTGAGTGTATTTGACAGGAACATAGTAACATTGCACAGTAATCATTAGTATTTAGTTACGTCTACCAACAAGTTGATGTATTCAAAATACATAGTAGGCGCAGATTTCTGGAAGCTGCCATGTTGCCCTGCCATCTTAAATACAGTAGCCAAGATAGACATAGCTGTTCCACCTAATCAGGTTTAATGTATGTGGCCACATATGTAGTATGCCACAGGAAGAGGAGAATATAACTTGTAGGCATTTGTGTGGCATGGGGATAATTTTTAATTTGTGTCTACATCTTCAGAGTTCAGACTTATGAAGGATCATACCGATGTTTTATTGTCAGGGAAGGGGTCACTTTCACCAAAGAAGCAAAGATACGAAGGAAAGAGACCATGCAACTGATAAAACATTTTCCTCTTCCTCCTTCCACCTCAATCCTCATTTCCTAAACGTAAGTCAGGAGTCCAACACATCAAAATTTGCATAAACATACTCATTTATTCCAGACATTTTCACAAACAATGTCAGCAGATTAGATGCAAAACCTTCCCGTCTTTAGGCAGCTGACAACAAGCTGGGTAAACAATAACAACAGGTGCTTATGTCAGCTAATGTTAATCCCTAAAATTCACATTTTACCTGTGATAAATAGTTTGATTACATTCTCACACTGTGTCTCATTAAGTGTGCAGCAATCTTAGATGCACTTCAAAGACAGTTTTACTACCGCCAGCTAACTGCAGCTAATCATCAGCGTTTACTGACTGAAGTTTAAGAAATCCTCAGCAACTCAGTTACTCTGTTATCATTCAGACAGAGTAACTGTCTGAATGATTCATTTTGGACTCCTTTCACAAAGTAAATAGATGCCGACGCATATTGACAGCTGAAGTAAACAGTGGACTGACAGCCTACACTCACTACAGATGAATGGTGGCCAGAGTTGTTTGTCTTACAACAGCCACTGTAGCTAGGATTATGCACTTGAATTAGGAGGGGGGGAAAAACAAAATTCAGTTGACTGCAGTTTTCAACCTACTTACACCTACTGGTGATATTTTTCACACTGTAACACTGTATTTCAGTTCACATGCAGGCTTTCTAGTCTACTCCAGATGTCATGCGCGATAAGAGTCCCAAACTGAACATATCTGCATGCCGAGTGATTGTTGTAGCAACAGCTAGTATACATACTTAAAATGTACGAAATTTCAACTCAATCTGAGAGTATTTATGTGACTTATCATGTTCACTCAGTCTAAAGACCTGTTTAATGCTGAATTGCAACGCTTTCATTATAAAAAGTATTTCATAAGAGTTTCATTAGGTTGCAGCGTGATGAATTTAGATGTTCAATCACAACACAGGAACATCTCACTCAATGTGAAAAGTCCAGCTCTTATCAAACCAAAATTGAGTCACAGTCACAATCAAAGCCCCATCAAGTGACAACAGGAAGTCAACATTATTAGATAAACATGAACTGATATGCATGATGTATGCACTGTATTCTATACATGTTATACAGCAGTATTCTTTGTGCATTTATAATGTTCCACATTGGTCACATGAGGATCACTGCTGCTTGTATCTTTAATTCCACCAGGGACTGTTTATCTTCCAGTAACCTTTACCTGCCCTGTACCCATGACAGGTCCTATAATGAGAGAATGATGACACATTTATATTTAATATGTAGAGACAGGTAGATGGACTGCCTAACTGCTTGTCATAAAGTCAGCACAGGAAGAAACTCAGATCTGACCTTTAAGGTTTCTGAAACATGGCCTGATGTACTCGATTCTATTTTTCATCTCTGCATGCACCAGGAGGGGGTTTCATTTCCAGTTCAAACACCCCCACAAACTCACACGCCAAGACCAAACTAGCTGAAATGTACCCTCGGGTCAGTGTTTTCTGTGACAAATATAAGCCTATATTGGCTCTGCACAGTTTAAAGCAATTTTGGTAGGAATGTGTTTGACTCAATCACTTCTCCCAGAACAAGTAATAGAAGCAAACCCTCTCTTTGCTCTGGGGGTAATGTTCTCGCTTTGCCCTCTCTTAGCAGAAATAGGGCAGCAGGGAAATGCAAGTTCCTCTGCCTTCGACTTGGAAGAAAGAAATTATGCAGTCTGTGGGAATAACAGAATAATATCTGCAAAGTGCGGAGTGGTGGGGAATATTCTCTTCCAAGTGAAAACAGATTTTACCAGGACCTACATTAAAAATGGACATGAGAAAAAGTATCTTAAGTATTCTGAGCGAAATAAATAGTCCTATGTATAAATATCAAGGGCTATGATATAAATGTGGCTTACATGTATAAATAAATATCATGTAAGCCACAGTGACAACAAGACGATTAACTGCTTATCTTGTTTCAGTGCAATCTTCTGCTGGGAAACCTTGGTCCTTGCACTCGTGTAAGGCCTACTTTGACACTGAGCCTACAGAGCCCAGGTTGTGACACTTAGAATTAAATGTAGTGTAAGAAATACTAATCCTAATAGATTCACTTCAACATTGAAAGGATTGTGTGGGAGTTATGGTCCTTCTAGTGTCGCTGTTTAAAGGTAATTGGACACTTGGATGCATTGTACCTTGAAAAGTGAAGGCAGAGAAAAGGTGGAGAGAACCCCAGGTGTCTGCAGTAAAGGTCTGTGAGGGCATCTCCAGGGAAAACACAAAGTGTCTGCAGATATCTAAGACTTAAAGCAGTCATTCACCACATGCTTTTCAATAAGAATTATTAAATATCAGTTTGGATGTGGATCTCTGCAAACATTCTCAGACCCCTAAATTCTGCAGTAAAAATTGCTGCATTTTTATGGAAGACTTTTCAATACTGCCGTAAATCCACTCCAATTAAAACTGAGACTTGGCACATTAATACAGTATGCATTTCTTTATGTAGAACTGAATATGCTTAAGCTTAGATCCCGAAGTTAGAAAGAAAAAAAAGCGAGGGGAAGAAAAAGAGACATTTTGGACTGTGGCATAAAATGGAAATGCACAACTTCTAAAGATGTGAGTTCCACCACTGAGCCTGGAGTCCTTTGCCACAACCATTTGGATGTAGAGTTTTCTTCCCTGCTATCCTTGAAAAGAAGAAAGGATTTCTCTTTGCAATAACTAGCACTAAATGGTAATTTGAAAAGCCAGATTTGGACAGTACTACTTTTTATGAGAAGCTGCAGAAGAGGGGGGGGGGGATGCACAGATATATAGTGCTGTGCAAAAGTGTGGAGTCATCACTAATTTCTTTATATTTTGCAAGGAAAATGAGAAATAGGAAGCATGTGTAAATACATACGGAAATACAGCACATAATGCAAATAAGGGCCTTGTATAATCCTAACAAGCTTTAAAGTCAATATTTAGTATGACCACCTTTATTCTGCAACACAGCCTGAACTCTCTCGGGCAAGCTTTCATCTAGCAGTTCTCCGGGCTTCTTGAAGGCCATTCAAAGCTTTTCTTTGGATGTTGACTGCCTTTTGTTCTGGTGTCTATCAAAATGCTCTAACACCGCTTCAATAACATTTAGGTCTGGGCTCTTGGGAGGCCGATCCATGCCTCACGGTGTTCCATTACGTGTTTTTCCATCCAGATATGCTGTAGCGCACTGACAGCGTGTTTGTGATGAGTGAAGAATGAAGTGTTCCCAATCAGACACATTCCAGATGGTATTAGATGGTGAATCAAAATCTAATGGTATTTTCCAGCATTCATAATACCATCAAGTTTGACAAGATCCCCAACACATCTGGCTGGAATTCCACCATCAAACCATGGCATAGCCTCCATTGTGTTTTACAGATGGCTGTAGACACTCCCACACATACATACTGACCACAGGACCTGTTTACAGCCCAGTTCTTGTGTAATTGGTACACCTCAGCCTTTCCCTTTAAAATATTTGTGATGAGGCTTCAGTAAACTGTAGGTGTGCTGAGGAGACATCTCTCATATCCTATGTCAGGTCTTTCCTGAATTTTTTCCTATTTCTTAAAGACATGATTTTCAGATACAGTTCATTTGCTGTAGATAGAAGAGGCAGGCAGGAAAAGCTTTTGTCTTCCACCTGTCCAATTTCAATACATATTTTAAGGACACACTGCGCACCATGCTGAGATATACCAAGCTATTGCTTAATGCCGCTTTGATAATCACCTCGTTGGAGCAAAAATACAATTTTATGCCTGTCAAAGTTTTCTTCTGCATTTCTTAGTAGATTCTACTGAAGAAATTGGAACAAATTGTGTTTTACAACAGGCTGCTAATAACAAATGCCTAAAGATACACTTTAAAAGTGGTTCTCTGTTCTGTATTACCTGCAGACAATGGTGCCTCATCCCTTGAGTTAGGTGCCTTTTTATGCTTGAATGATTCATAGGTCAGTGTTAAGCGGTTTGAAAAAGGAAAACCAACAACGGAAAACTTTGAAAGGGCTTCACAAAGCCAGGAGAGCTACTGCTCAAGGCCACTTGTAAAAAAAAAAAAAAAAGAAGAAATGTAAGAAAGTGTAACAAAACAAGCACAACATAAAGCAATGAGGCATGACTCAAGACTTGTTTACAGAAATGCATCAACATAGCACTTTTTGCTATCAATCACAGACCTAGCTACTTGTTAAATCTAATTACATAAAAAAAAAAAATTATATCACACACACACACACACACACACACACACACACACACACACACACACACACACACACACACACACACACACACACAGTTTAACAAGGCCACCATTTCAGTTGTTTTTATTTCTTTGTGTCAGTGCAAAAAAAGGGAATGCTGGACAAATGTTTACATAAAAAATGTTTCCATAAAAGTAGAAAGAAAAAAAAAAAAAAGCACTGCATCGTATGTGACCAGATCCGACTTATTCGGTGAGGATGGGATAGTCCAGATCAGCGGGGAGTTTAATAACTTCTTCTCGTCGCGATCTGTAGAAAAAAAACAAACAAAAAACGCGGCGTTTGTGTGAGACAGCAAAGTTATGAAAGCAAAAAAAGAAATGACACATTGTGACCTTCCCAGCCAGCAGCAAGTCTAAAAATTCAATATCACCATTTTCTAGTAAAGCAAAAGCAATATGTGTCATCATGTAGTCCTCAGAGAAGCATCTCATCACATGTACTATCTGCTGTGCTGTTCCACAGAGAATGAAGTGACGAACTGGCAATAACATCTAATGTGACAGAGCACCTGAAGGACAATATATCTGTTTACTTTTCACTGACAAAAACAACTCAATATCCACAGACACATATGGCAGATTTAGTTTGGATATTTTGTACAATTTCTACAGTTTCTCATCGTGGAACACTTAGACGCACTTACATGTTTGCCTCAGCCAATGAAATTCATCACAACGAGATGGAGGACGGTGTGAGCGAACAGGAAGTCGGCGAAGGCTCTCTCTGGGGAGATGGACAGAAAATCTCCTTTGTTCTGTGGGTTGATCTGGATACGAAGACACACTGAAAAACAAACAAGGGATTAAGTATCAGCATGTACCTCTTTCACTTGTCAATGCACAACTGCAGTGGGGCTACAGCGGAGTTTTTTTTCCCCATGATAATTTAATAGTTTTAATATTAGGGTTAGTTGTTTAGTAGTTAAACACCAAAAGTCAGACAGCCTAATTTTTTCAAAATTTTCAGCTCGTTACCTGTTTTTGCATTTAGATGGAAATAGGAAGCACAGATACTACGCAGTATAGCTGAAATAATTCACTGAATAGCTGATTGGTCAATGCAGACTGATAATTTCTCCATTTTTGTCATCCTAAAAACACCACACCTCCATCACATTTATAAACCAATTAAATTCTCATACTTGTTAATGTCCAACATGAGTTGTAAAGGTCAACCGATTTATCAATGGGCTTAATTTACTGACTTCTAGTAGCCATTTGAAGAGCCATTGGTTTTGGATTTCATACCTGACAATATATGAAAATCTGATATAAAGTACTGATAGGAGAAACACCCTTCAATCATGTTATGATTACTGATGTTATATAGTGTGTAGACCAGAGGGCACTCTGCAACTTCTTGTTGGCATCATGTGTGTTTGTAATGCCACAAACAACTAGCAGCTGACAGAAAAAGAAATTCGAGTTCACCAACATAAACCTCTGGTGGTTGCAGCAACGGCAGATCTTCTAATGGCTAGATATACAGATATATGAGCCTATGTATTTATGTTTTTCCAGATGGACAAAACAAACAATTTCCACTAACATATGCTAGGTGTACATATGTATTTACTTCTTTACACTCAGGTCAATCCAGCTTGAAGCTAACATGGTGAAGGGTGTTTCTCCAATCAGTATTTTTAAAAATTGTATTTATCGTCCATTACAAATGCCAATGCCGACAGCATAAATCAGTGAATTGATACTAATGGCCACTTAAGGCTGGCTCCAAAAGCAAGTCAATGCCCATCTTAAAATCCCGAATTTTACTGTATTTTTTTATTTTTTATTTTTAAACAGAATGCTGGCTGTCAGCCAGGGATACCCCTCAGCCTCTTACTAGATGCACCAATGGAATGAATTTCAAAATCCTACATCAACTTGTTCTCAAGTTATCACATTCACAAGATTTTCAATTGATAAAATTGCTTCATTCTGGAGTTTTCACATTCACAAACATGGGTGCCCGCATCAGCTTTTCAGGACAAAGAGGTAAAAAGTTTACAGCACCGAACAAAAAACTTTTTTAGCTTCTATGCATGGGTTCCCCTTCACAGCAGCTAAACAGTGGGGTTTTTTTGTTATTGTTATTCCCCCCCCATCTCCATCTGTATTATAAAACAATCCACCATGTTTGTGCTTTTGGTACCTTGAGCATTTTAATAAGAAACGTATGAAAACCAATTCAAAATCTCTGCACACCTGAAGGGCCGACATTGTCGGAGGGAAAAAACGTCCTCATATACAACTAAACGTAACCCTACACACTGTCTCAATTACAGATGAACTTTTATTGTTTTAATGGAATTACCTGACAAACGAGCCTATTCAAAATAGACTTGGTTTGTGGTTTGTTTTTATTTCTGATATTTTTAATTCTAATATTTTATTACTTGATTAAAATGTGCTTATTTACGCTAACAGTTTGAACCAAGCTTGCTAGTGTTGGCTAATATTTTGGCACACTATGCCATCATCCAAATAAGGTGATTGTTGGCTTTACCAAAAAAAATAAATAAATATGGCAGAGGACAAACGTAATATTTTGGCTTGTATATGCAGAGCCTACAAGTCAATGGTCCAAATCACTGTGTGACCATCTAACATTTAGTCTTTGAGTCCATGGCCTTTCCATGCACCTGCGGTGGACAGTCCTGAAAGGTTCAGGAATACGGGAATGTATGAAAACTGCTTAAAGCACATTTTTCTAGGTGCAAAATAAGCATCTGTGCAGCCTTGAAAATAATGAACCAATGCCACCCAGAGAGCTACTCGGGAAACACGTGTATTCATTTCGTTTTAATATTAACTGAAGTCACGCTACTAGTTTAGCATAGATAGCTAACTTGTGCCTGAGTGCACGTTCTGGATCACCCCTTTTTGTAAAAAATAAAATAAAATTACCAGCGACACGTTTAATCGAATAAACACTTACCTGCGAGAATAAAAGCACCCACGCAAGAGATGAAGCCCGAGAGAAAGCTATTGAATGGAAAGGTGCCGACGAGGAGACAGTAGAGGAACTGCAGGGCTCCAGTTAACAAGATGTACAGCAGATATGCGTCCACCACTTTGAGTTTGTTGGGCGTCGTGGTGCCGTACTCGTCCAGAAACCGAGAAATAACAGATATCACTGAGTTCGACATGATTTTGGCCGTCTAATTAGCAGAAAATTACTCAGGATTTTGTTGCACGAAACCTTTTCCTCGGTCGAATAAGTGACGTGTCCCAATAAACCGGAAACGGACGTGGTGTTGCACGTTATACGTTCCGACCAAATCGGAACGAAAAGCCACAGAGTAGAGCACGGAGATGTAAAAATAAAACAGATGATTTTCTCTGCTGCTATCTTGAGTTGCAACGATATTAAGTTGTTATTTTTCTCTTTTTATGGCTTAATTTGTGACCTCAGGCTGTGTGGTGGTCAGCACAGTAGATAATAGCAAAAAGAAAAATGAAGAAAAAGATGAAAGGATATGGAGGCTGAAAGTGGAAATATTGAGAGTATCAGTACCAACCGTAGTATTGGTATTTATACTATTAAAACCCACCCCTAATCGCAACCCCCGAACGTGTGACTTTTTTTTCGTACAGTTCGAGCATCATTTCGAGAGACGATCTTTGTGTTTGATCAGCTGACGTAGGAATGTACTTGTTACAAAACATTAGAAATTAGCATACAGCAGCTGAGTGTAACTTGAAAGCAGAGGAGACAGAGCGTGTTATCAAACGTGATCAGACTGAATGTAGTCACCGGAATATGCCCACCAATGGATAACCCTGCGACCATCGCACCTGTGCAGAACGATTGTGAAACAGAGTAAGTAACTTAGCTTAATGCAGCCGAATACAACCATTCACAAAACGCTGCTAGTCGCCTTTAATCAAATGTTACTTAAATCTCGGAAGACTCGCTGTATTCAGACGCGTTTTGGGCTCTGGGCGGGATGAACTGTAAGACTGTGCTGTGTCATTGTTTGTGAATCGGTCTCTAGCTTCTTTTAATGTAAAATGTAGATGTTGCCATGGTCTTTGGCACGTTCTGTGTGAAATTACTCTTGGAAACATAAAGGCAAATACTAGTATGGCAGAAAGTTATTTAACAGTTAGCTTTAAGTAACAAAGACATACAAAGTTATAGTAAAATGATGGTAAGTGTAGTCTACTGTTGACTTGTGAAGGTAGGTCTAATAAGGTAATCATAAGGTAGGTAGGACTCTATTGGAGTGTCACCTGCACTCTTGGCTAACAGGTGCGTTCTACTTGTTATTGGCTGACAACAAAAAAAGGAGGAACAGGGGTGAGTGTGACTTATCAAAATGACTCAGCAAAGCTAAACTGCTTTGTTGATTGGTGAATAGGTGAAAAGCTCCTGGGATGTACCTGATGTAATGATGACAGAAGCAGAAACGCGATCCTGTTCTTTTTGTACCTCAGTGTAGAAAAAAAAAAATCTATTATTCTAAAAATGAATGCTAATGAGAATGGAGGTAACCAGGATTTACCCCACCACCATCAGTCCTACAAGTCTGACTTTGATTAACAGCATGATGAAACGTGACTCTCGGCTCTGGCTCTGTACCACTCAAGTGTCAAGTGCATTATCTATGCAACATTATTTGCATTTCAAATAGTGATAACATTGATTTTACTTGCTTGGTTTTGCATCGGAGGAATTTGTATTGTGTTTCTACTCCACTATCTAATATCCCTTCATTCTTCAAATGTCTTTCTCTCATTCTGTCCTCGTCAGGACAAGTTCAGCTTGGAGCTGGTGGCCTTCCTGGCGCCCTACCTCCATGTCCCTTTTGAAGACAACTGAATCTAAGATTCTTGCCTGTAAGGATATGTTGATATTAGCTGGGTGATTACATAACAGGAAATGATATATAACTGTTTTTGTTTAAGACTTTAACCCTAATGATTATTCCTTCTTGTCTGGTAACATCAGGTATTCAGAATGATCTATGGGCCAGATTTGTGACCCTACAAAACCAGTACCGGATATGGACTCTGACCATCACCAACAAGGCGGTTCGCAAACCTGTAGAACAAGGTAGAGATCTCAGCTCCCCTTTTCGTATTCTTTGTTTGATTATAAGCAGACATAGCTGTAAAGTATGAATTGTCATAACAATGGCGTAATACATCATTCTTTCCTGTTCCTGTGTTGCCTGTAGTACCTAAGACTCCACTGGTAATGGTTCATGGCTTTGGAGGAGGGGTGGGTCTGTGGATCAGGAACCTAGACGCCCTGAGCCGGTCAAGGCCCGTCTACGCGTTTGACCTCCTTGGTTTTGGCAGGAGTTCCAGGCCTCCCTTCCCTTCAGATGCTGCCGAGGCAGAGGAGCAGTTTGTGGACTCCATTGAACAGTGGAGGCAGTCTGTAGGCCTGGAGAACATGATTCTGCTGGGACACAGCCTGGGGGGTTACCTGGCAACCTCGTATGCCATTCAGTATCCATCTAGGTAAGAAAGCTGATGAAATACGCAGTCCATCATCTGTGGTCAGAATTACCTGTGGCTTACATTAGTCACTAGTATTTGAATTACGTGCGTCACATGTGTCATGTTGAATATTAACCAGGCGTGGCCATAGCAACATAATAAACCTGTTATGTTATTAAAGGCTGGATGTAGCTTAATGGTACTGTATAGATATGAACAGTATACAAATCATCTTATATTACTGTCCTCAAGAAAGCAACAGTTTCCAAAGTATAATCTGACTGTCCACTTTATTAGGTACACCTCTTCAGCTTCTTGTTAATAGAACTCTAATGAGCCAATCACATGGCAGCAAATCACCGCATTCAGGTATGCAGACGTGGTCAAGATAATGCGCGGAACCTCAAAATGGCAAAGAAAGATGATTTAAGTGACTTTGAATGTGGCATGGTTGGTCCAAATTGGCAGCAGTAAATTTATTAGATAAAGCTACTTCTGGGAATTTTTTTCCTCTGGGGTTAACAGAGAATGGTCCAAAAAAGAGAGAATATCCAGCGAGCGGCACTTCTCTGGGAGAAAATGCCTCGTTGATGCCAGAGGTCAGAGGAGAACGGCCAGACTGCTTTGAGTTGTTGGAAGGTCACAGTAACTAAATAAACAGTTGTTACAAAATATCCAGAAGAGCATCTTCACACAGGCTCACCAAAATTGGACAGGATAAAAGACGGGAAAATTGTTTGTTGAGATTCGGTGTTAGGGTCAGAATCTGACATAAACAACATGAAAGCTTGGGGTCGTTCTCCTTTGTGTCAGAAGTTCAGGCTGCTGCTGGTGTTCTAATGATGTTGGGGATATTTTCTGGGCAGGCTTTGAGCGTTTAGTGTCAATTAAGCAACCATCCAACACTCTGTCGACCATGTCCATCAATTTATAGTCACAGTGTGTCCTCTTTGTGATGAATGCCTCCACCTGGATAACCCACTATGTCAGACATCAATATAAATGACATTTATTTTTTTTAGCAAATTAAGCTTAAATCTGCACTGACTAATATTTGTCGTGCTAACAGCGGGTCACGTTACTGTCTGTAATGTGAAAACTATCACCAGCCTCATCAGCTTCCCTTTGTTTTTACAGCCTGTTATTGTGTTAAAGCTTGAAACTGTACTGTGTTGCTTCAGTCTCAGCCATCAGTTATTTCTACTGTAATGTTTCATTTTTACCAACTCGTGACTTTTTTCTATAAATGAGCTGGCGACTCATACTAATACATCGTGCTGTATGTTATCGTGATTATATTCTGTTTTCTTTTTCACAGAGTATCACACCTTATCCTGGTAGATCCCTGGGGTTTTCCGGAGCGACCCAAGGTCCAGAACCAGCAGGGCCAGGGGACAGATGTGGTGAAGAGGCCGTCCCCTCCCCGCTGGGTGAAGGCTATCCTAGCAGTCGTTACCCTCTTCAACCCACTTGCTGTGATTAGAGCAGCGGGACCGTTGGGTAAGAAGTGCGAACATCGTTCTGCTGCTGCGCTGTGGCACGCGTAATGTTGCGACCTCCTTCTCACAACGTGTTCTGCATCCAGGTCCGGGCTTGGTGAACAGATTCCGTCCTGATTTCAAAAGGAAGTTTGAAGATCTGTTTGATGACGACACCATGACCCAGTACATCTACCACTGTAACGCACAAACACCAAGGTATGTGAAGAAACACCCCCCCCCCCTCCATATTAAAAATGCGATTCTGATTAGAGAGAAGTGACAACCTTCTCTTTCTCTTCCTCCATCCAAGTGGAGAGGTGGGTTTTAGGGCCATGACGGAGTCCTTGGGTTGGGCTAAGAGGCCGATGCTGGATCGGGTTCATCAGCTGCCCGCCTCCATGCCCGTCACTCTGCTGTATGGAGCACAGTCCTGGGTGGACAGCTCATCCGGATACAAAATGGCTCAGATTAGGAACCACTCCAACACCAGAGTGCTGGTAAGTAGAGACACACACATTTGCATCCATAGAAACACAAAGACAAGCATATGAGTCTAATTCAGCTTAATGTTATGTTAATATAATTAAAATCAACTTTGCTGTACATTCCTGCTGACTGCTCCTATCTGCTCCTCTTTGCAGCTGATAAATGAAGCCTCCCACCACGTGTACGCAGATCAACCAGGGGAGTTCAACAGAGTTGTTGAAAATATTTGTAAATCTGTGAACTGACATGTTTTTGGACTGAACTTGTTAAGAAAAAGTGGCGATGGTCTTAACACCGGCACTTTTGCATGTGAAGTATGCTGGGTGGGTTTGCATATTGAAATGCCATGATTTTGATTGTAGTTTCTTTATTATTATTATTATTATTATTGTAACAAGTTGTTGTTATTATTATTCCAGTAAAACTCTTATATTTGTTAGAAGGGGTTTTTAGTGTTATTTACATTTATTTTTGACATTTTCATGAAGAGCATTAACCGAACTGCCAGTGCCGAAATATACTGGGTTGTCATATTCCTTTAACACTCAGTGGAACACGCACACGGCTATGGATGTGTTATTTATTACCCATCAGCCACATGATTCCCGGTTCACACTTCAATATGTGCCTGACAATTTTTCTTTAATCCCTGCTCTTAATGTCTTCCTCATGTATCAATCAGCTGTATTTTGTAAAATTAAACCAGTAAAAGCTTATTTAAACTACCTACGAGTGATGCACTTTATTGCCCCACCAGCAGGGGGCAGTGACAGCTGGCATATTTTTTAGGTTTTATACTCTCAGTGGGTTTTGCCCATCAGTGGCACTGTATAGCGGTTAGCATTGTTCCCTCACGGCAGGGGTGTACCCACCACCTACCCAGTGAATGCTGGGATAGGCTACACCCTATCCACCCCTGTCTGCGACTCCAAATGGACAAATTGATGAATGGATATGAATTATAAATATCAAATGAGAAAGTCACTTAAAAATATATATTTACCAATTGTTAGAACAGCTGTTTAAAACTGTAAAACTTACAAGTATATAGATTTAAATTAACCTGTAAAGTAAATGTAGCATAAAAATAAATGCAACTGAAGAAAAAAGTATATTTGGTAAAAGTTCCATAACACTTGTGATAAATCAGAAGTTGATTAAGTAAAAATACAGTTTTATATATATATTTTTGTACCGTGTTTGAAGGTGGTAATAAGTTAAGAAAAATGTAACATCAAAAGTATAACAAATTATAAATCTAAACACAAAACTTGATTAACCGCTATAAAAGGTAACTTTTTTACATTTACTTTTCTTACTTTACACTGAAAAAAAATGTTTTGTTCAATTTACTCAATTTTTTTATGACAAGTGGTTGCACGAAATAAATTTGTTTGAATCCAGAAATATTTTTTAAGTACACTGAATTTAATTTAAGCGAGTAAAACCAACATATATTTTTAAGCTACTTTAACTTAACTGTTGTGGATACGTCTTAATCAAATATTATTAGTAAGTCCAACTAAGGTCGTGTTAAATGTACCAGAATAATTTGTTTCCTTTACACTTATGTCCCAAACTTATATTCAAATCAATCAAATTGTTAATTTCTCTCTATTTCAATTAAGTTAAGTTTACTTAAAAATATTGCTTACCCTGATTTGTAGTTTTTAAAAACGTCAATAATGAAAACTACAACATTCTTTCACATCATTTATTAATGCAAAATTTGTTGCAAACAGAATAAGAATCCACATATCTAAGGGAAATTGCTGCAATTTGTATAATACAAATTACAAAACTTTTGCCTATGAACTAGTAGCTTTAAAAAGCTGTATTCAAACAAAACAGAAACAACAGACAAGAGAAATGTTAACCAATGTTTCTCTTCCTCTAAAAAAAGAAAAAAAACAAACAAACTCCTTACATAAAAGAATAAAACACTACCAGCAGTATAATGTATCACAATTAGAAACTGATGCATCCACAAACTAACCAGTTTCAGACTTGCTGTTCTGCGATCCATATTTAGAAATTGCATTTTAATAAGGTAATTAGACTTAAAATTAAACTTGTGTTTTCCTTACTGCTTATTGACCACTGTCTTTCCATTCTAGTCCTTCCTTGAAGATTCTGAATGTTTTACATATTTTCTGACCTAACATACTCGCTTCAAAACAATTAATAGTCTTTAAAGTGTTACCAGTGTGCTGCAGTGTGGTAATCATGAATGTTTTTTTTGGTTTTTTTATCCGGTTGAGTTAACACTGATTATACGCAGGGCAGCAGCTATAACTGAATAATTACAAAGTTGCTCTTCAAGCTACTCAAATGTACCACACGTGAAACATTCATTATTGAAAGTTAAAATGTTCAATCGAAACATAACACAGAACAAATGATGGTTGTACAAGAGTTTCACTCCTATTCACAAGAGCACCAGTCATTGGTAATTTACATAACAGCATTCTCTTGATGTGTTATTTTAGAAATCTTCCTATCCAGTAGCAATTTTGTTCTTCAGCCCAAAGACTTTGGGGGAGAGCTTTTCACCATCGAATCCCATCAACACTTTCTAAATGAATTCATAATAGTCCTTCAATTCCTTGGGGAAGGCTAGGTTTAGTGCATAGATTACTCCAAGCATCAATGCACAAGCTTGGGCCAGAGAGCCAATGTTGTCCATGACTATCTCCCCTTCAACAAATATTCCAATGTCATCATAATGTCCATTTTGTCCATCCTCCCTATTGATGACATAAATGCCCATGGTGTGCTTCTTCAGGTCTCTCTGGATATCATCTCCTTCAATGTCCTAAACATTTAATAAAAAGGTAAAAGAAAAAACAATTAACTCTACAATTAAATTCCAATCTAGTCGTTTGTGTGCGTGTGCGTAATACACACACACACACACAGATATCTATCTAAAAAGTGTGTGTATAGATGACTTGCTTACAATGACTTAAATGACTTACAAAGAACTCCCGAATAAGGCTTCCGTCCTCTTCACCAAGGTAGAGGCAAAGTGCCCTGAGAACTGCTTCCCTTTTCACTTTAACATCACTTTCAGCCTGTTTAAAGAGAGTTTCTGATTAAACCAATTTGGAAAAAAGAACAATGTCTGACATTCGCAATAAGTAAATTTTATCATATGTCAGTTCAAACATAGTAAATAAAATTTATATATGAAATTTCAAAATTTAGATTGCTTGGCTGGTCACCTAAAACGGCTTATTGGACTCACCAGTGACCTGAAGGTCATCTCCAGTTGAAGTGTTGTAATACACTGGAATTCAGCATTTACCTGTATCTCTCTCTCTCTCTCTCACACACACACACACACACACACACGCACGCACGCACGCACGCACGCACGCACGCACGCACGCACGCACACAGAAAAAAAGAAGACTGGTGCTTAATCATTGGTATGATTATTTTGTTATTTCTTCATTAAATGCTACAATGCAATTGCCATCACTTCATAAAGCATGATTATCATATGGGTTAGTATACAGTGCATGAAGGATGTTACTACTGTTAATCAAAGAAGAAATGAATGGCATCAGTCCATTTAACAGGTTTAAAGGGTTTTAAAAAGCAGATATTTGTCTGTTTCAGGTGGTTGGCAACACATTTTCCTGTGCTCTTTGTCCACTGGTGGGAGTGTCTCACCTGTGAGGTCAGCGGGGCAGAACTCTGCCATCAGCAACAGAGAGCAGAGAAAATTTAGATGTGCAACTAAAAACATGCTTGCCATGTAAGCCCCAAACATCTCTGAAATTGCTCTGCAAACTTCAGAGTACTTATACTTCAGGAGTCCTGTGGGTACCGTAAAGACTCATGTATGCAAACAAACCACATTTTTTTTTTGCAATCTGATCCTTTTTCTCTTGGCTGTTTCCTTCAGGGATCACCACAGTGATCCACCTCCATCTAACCCTATGCTCTGCATCCTCTTAACTCACAAGAACTAAATTCCTGTTTTTCATTTCACTTTCGCAAGTTTTTTTTTTCTTTTGTCCTGGATAAAAGAAATTTAATCATATATATTAATTGATATTAATTAATATCAATATTAATAATCACAAGAACCCTTAAGATGAGATAGATAAACTTGTCCCTGCAATACTGTGACAAATACTGTTGTGATAAATATGTAAGGAATTTGCATGTACTTACCAAAATAACACCATCTTCTTGAATAAACAGTAACACATAAGGGGAAGAAAATCTGCCAGAAAAGGAAGACAAATAAAAAAATAAACTTTAGAAAGACAAACAATTACCGTTTCCAAGCCATTAGTGCATTACTTCATGATACTCCCTTGTAACAAAACAAATCTTACTTGTGCCTCTGTGCAAACTACAGATGGCACGATACCACTTTTTTATGTCCGATACCGATATCATAAATTTGATTATCTGCCGATGCCGATATGAATCCGATATAGTGTATTTTATAATAAATAAAACTGTTTTTATAAATATTTTGCTGCATTTTGTATAAGTTCATACTCAGTTTTAAAAACAAAACATTAAAGCTATTCTGTTATACCTGTATGCAAAAATACACTGCACCCAAAATATTTTATACTTCAGCAATACTGATCAACCTAAAAAACTTACACCATCCTCCTTATTCAGGTATTCTAAACAGTACATAGAAATATTAAACTAACTAATAGGACTGCCAACTCCCAGCAAAAATATTAGGAAACCACCCCGCACCCTTCGCCTGATAATGCTTAATTGACGTAATCTACTTTAATGCACAGAAATCAATTATTTTTCTATAATAATTTGATTCAACATTTTTCTTCAATACAGTTGCAGACAGCGCAGACAGCGTACCTTCCCAAAGGAAAAAGTGCTATATGTACTACTATTACTAGGGCATATATTAGACTTAATATTTACTACATACAATAATGGATCTCTATACATTTAACCAGATCACCACTTTGGTAGTAAGATTTAGAATAATTATTTATTAAAAGCTAGACATTTTAAATGAGAATAAGAAAGAAATTATGTCTTTGTGTCTCCCTTTCCCTGTTAATGCCCAACCTGGCCCCCTGGCAAAACTTTGCTAGATCCGCCCCTGCACAGTTACCAGATGTCAGCTACATAGAAAAGGATGCTGGTGTTATTTGTCTCTCATAAACAGTTCATAACTTCCCTTCAACTCATTCATGTGACCTAAAATGTAAACCTGTTTCTTCATTACCTGTTCAGCTCTAATGATTCAGTAAAAACTTCTCCTGGTTTCACCTTCATGTTTCCTTCTCACCACATATCCAAACTATCATGACCAGCAGCTATTACGGCTGTGGCTCCAGAAAACATAAGCGGATACTAGAAGTAATATTAAAAAAATTCTAGCAACAGCTTATCAAGCTTAAACGTGCTGCTGTTGTTTATCTGCCGTTTTCCTCTTTCTAGCGCAAACTGGGTGACTAACAAATGAGAGAGACTAGCGACAGAAAAGCCGATCACCTGATAATCGATCAGTTTCATGATTGAAGTAGCAACAGGAGAGGGAGGGGGGAGAATGAGGGAAGAAGTTTTAGCTGTTCAGCATGAAGACACCGAATAACTCCAGCTTTGTGTCTTTTTTCATTCTAGCTGAAGTATAAAACAAATCGCTTCCTTTCCCCCTCAATACAAAACTCCGACAGCCAGTCCAGCTGTGGCTCCATACATCGGTTGTTAAGCTCAACATGAAAATACTATGCAAACATAAAGAGATGAACTTACACACTTGCTTTACTTCTCTGTGTTAGTTTTCTCTGAGATTAAATGCAGCGGTTTGGAAGCACGTAGCGAGGCTTTAAATGCTAAACCAGACCGCTGACAGGTCTTGCACTCAACAGCTCTATCAAGTGAAGCAACTTCTTTTCTGAGTTAATTTCAGTTCTGACAAACATCACTCTCAGTGCCTTTTGATCTCACATTTTTGGCAACCACTGAGTTATTCTCCTCCACAGTTTACAACCATTATTTTTTTCTGCACAAAAGACGTTGTGCAACGCCAATCCTACTTATTTCCTACTGCACCCCTGACTGTGCAGGTGCGTTCAGAAGCCCCCTCCCCGCCCGACTATTCCTTAATGCCAATGTTGTGGCGGGAGGGACGATTTCTCCACTTAAAACTGCAGGCGACTGTACAGTGAACTTTACAGCTAACTACAGAGAAATTGCCTCGTTCCATAATTTGTTAGTACAAAGTGTGCCACAAGAACTAAGCTAAAAACATATGACATTTTAACGCATCAATACAATTACTCTTTTAATTAGTGATGGGCAGATGAAGCCCCATGAAGCACTGAAGCTTTTCATCCAATTGGTTCACCCCAACGCGAAGCTTCATGAAGCTTCATTTGCTCTAGCAGGACACCTACTGGACGTAAAAATAATAGCTGGCATGAATTTGAAGAGTGTGGCATTTTGCACACAGCCTGTAAATGTCAACAACAAAAGGAGTGTGTAAAACATGTATATTGTAGTGATGGCAGTATACTGTGTATATTTATAGTGGCAGTATGGGAAATGATTATTTGGAAATGCTTGAAATGGAAATGATCATTTACTGTGAGGTGAGGTGTGGTTGGGGTGTGGACAGTAGTTGTGCTTTTGTGACGTTGAGGTATGGACAGCTACACACTGAGGCTTTGAGCCTCAGTCCTGCCTGTTCACATTTTATTCTGTAAAAACTAAATTTTCACTGCTTTTACGTCCTTTTTAGTGGGGAGAACATAGCTGGGATTTAATGATTTAACAAATCTTTTGAATCCTTTGTCCTCCACAATGCTAAATGGCTGGGAGTCCTCAATCACCATGCTGACCAGGTCTTCATCTATTTGAGATTGTTCTCCTGAGGAAAGACAATAAAGATAAAGCACAAATATAAATATCACACACGTAACTTATAACAGTTGTATAATATTGTTATATCATTTAGTAACATTACTGCATGCTATATTATCATTGCATTTGATGGCTCACCTGGTCTTGCTCCACAATCGGTGTTCCTCTTATTCTCATGCAAAGCTCTGTAGTGCCTAAGCATGGATGAGGTGTTGTTGTTATATCCCAGCTCCCTGGCACATAGCAAACACTTCACCTTGTACAAAAGTCAAGACAGCTCAACATAAATTGTATTGCACCATCAGTATTATGAAAATACATCTTCTGTAGAAATTTACATACCTTGTTGGGAGGAATAAGATCAAAATGTTCCCACACAGGGGAGGACATCCTCCTCTTCTTAGCTGGCTCCATTCTCTCCTGACTTTCTCTCCTCACTCTCATAAACCTCCAAACGGTCTCCAAACTCTCTCTAACCGCAACTCTCCATCAAACACCCACATTTTGAATGAAATCTGAGGGGTTTATATCGCTGTCATATCTCGCGGCAAAGTTCGAACCACTTCATGAACCAGTCACGTGGTACAGCCGGGCAGCGAGGCTTCGGACGTCATCATTTTCAGCTCCGCCCATAAATGAAGCAAGCCTCGATACGCGCTTCGCGGAAACGCCCCCTCCATTACTCGACACACGCTCCGAAGCCTCGATACAGAACGTCCCATCACTACTTTTAATAGAGCAGTAGCTAATAGAGCACATAGCTAGCTTAAGTCAAATTCATGACAAAGTTCAGAGGTGTACAACTACTTAGACTTCTTTCTCCATGTGCACACGTCTTAAAGAGTCAACATGCTTTGACTGAGGTAAAAAAAATAAAACAAAAACGACCGTAAAAGGTTTACTTACCGAAGCTAGACCACCTTTATATGAAGTTGTGCGATTAACTTGAGCCCGCTTGCAGCACACAAAGAGTCCGCTTCTTCAGTCCGCGTGCAAAATGGTGGCCTGTCCTAACGCATGCGCAAAATGGCCCAGCAGGAGGCTATGAAAAACATACTTAAGCATTTTGAGCTACATTTAATTAACTAAAATTAATTGGATTAAAACGCAGGGAATGTATTCTGGAGTTACTCGAATTATATATGTAGACAGGAATTACTCATTTGAATTGAAAAAATATACCAAAATATAATATGCTATATTTAAAAGGAGACAATATCACTTCTTTCAGTGTACTTTTAAAAATCTTAAACTTTTAATTTTATGTGATAAGTTATAAAAATTGTGCCTGAATGCAGAACTATAAAACATAAAATTAAAAAAATAACATTGTATTAATGTGAAAGGTAATATTACATCATCAAATCTGTGATAAAGTAAACAGTAAAACTGTTATTCCATCTCTTTTTGGCATACTATAATTACTGGGACATTATACGCTATATTTAACATTCAGATGAATTTTAAAACCTGAGTTTTTAAAATGTGTCAAATTCCACTTCAAACTGTCCGACAAGCCCACCGTCACAATGCTTGATGAACTGGAATTCAGGAAATACGTGAGTTCATAGCACTGCAAGGAATATGATCTGACATCTTTCTCTGATGGCTTCAATGACAGCGATTACTTCCTTTATGAACTCGTACATTTTCTAATGCCTTGAATGTGAAAGAGAGCTACAAATTAGAGCTGTTAAACGAGTCGAGTGGCATAAAGGGCGCAGTATTTCTCTGTAAAAAATGCTAAAACTATGAGCCACTGCCTTAGCACAGTCAGCTTTAAGTACCTGGGAATACATTACTCATCCTGATTGGTGAAACGCAGTAAAGGTGTGTCACCCACCATAATTTGTAAGGCTGAAATTAGTCACTCTCTTTTTTTTGCGCCATAAAACATTGTTCAATTGCAAAAGTGGAAAGTTTCCTGTTTCCTCTGAGAGGCTTACATCGGCTTTAACCAGCACAGGCTTGTTTAATAAAGAGCTGCAACATCATTTTAGTGTGACTTTTATTAAAGACACAGCACAGATGATAGAAAACCCAAAACATTCCAAGTAGATAAATGGTCTCGTTTCGGATATGCAGACATTTGAGGGGTTTGGGTTTTTAATAAAGGCGGACTTTTCATTTCATTTGACAGTTGAAATAAGTGGTAATCTGTGTCCTTGCAGACGACATCATTTTCTGTTTTCTGAATTGGTACATTTAAACGTTACATTTGCCAAAGTCAGCATCGTTCCCTTTCCAAGCAAATGGACTTGTTTTAGAAGTCTAAGGATACAAACCCTTGTTAGTCAAAAAACACCTTGTCACACGTCTATTACAATTCTTCCACAGCAAGACACAAGTGTGAATTTCTGTTATTTAAAATGTAAAAATAGTAGTAATACTGATAATGCTACAGTAAATCATCTATTAATAGTTTTATGAATATCAAAAATTAAACATTTTCTGCAATAAAAAACAAACAGTATAGCTCAAGATATGGGAACTTAGCACACTTAATATGATGAGGCATTGTCAGTTGATATTTTATAAGAAATAAGTGTTGTGCGAGAAGCTGATCATTGTGGTGCCTTTCATTGTTCAAGAACAACAATGTCAGCCACTCCATGCACTTGTGAGAGCTGTTCACAGTCGAGGGACGCCACCAGCTTCCTGGGTCCAGGTTGGGAGGGGATGAAGTGCTCTGTCAGCGTCACTTTGGAGTGGGCGCCGACGTCACTGAGAGGGGCAGGATGAAATGAAACGTTAGTCTCGACACAAAAATGTTAGTGGAAGAGAAAGGGAGGCAAAAAAGAGAAAGACTTGTTCTTACCCCACGACCACCTCATGGCCCTCCTGAAGGCCCAGGCCCTCCACTCTGAACACCACTCCCTTCAGTGTAGATGGCAGGGGGTTGGTGAAAGTAATCTTGGCAGCCATCTCTTTACCAACAACGGCGTCTCCAATAGGCTGCCAGAGAAAGAGTTAAATTAGTCAAGAGGGATACCTTTAATAGAAATAAATGTTATGCATGTTGTGTTAAAATAATGCTCACTGTATGAATAAGGGGGGAAAAATGAAATCTTACTGTGATGGTGATGTCAGGTGTGCGAAGCCTGAAAGTTGTCTGGTTAGCTAGCACTTGCTTCGTTTCAGTGACTCTTCCACACAGGGTTAGCATGAAGGCTGCTTGATCCACCAGCTGGCTCTGGTATTGTTGGTAGGGCAGGACCCAGTCAATGGTTTTCTCTATGTGATGGGAAAAAAAGAAAATTTTGTTGTTGTTGTTTTCAATTTAAATGAATGCTTAGACATTTTGGAACAGCAGCTAGCTGCTAGTTAGCTTGGCTCAAGTAACTTCCCACAGGACGAGCTAGCCTAGCCTAAGCACAATGTAAAGGTTTCAGAAAATAAGTTTGATTTTCCACTTCAGGTTTCAGTTTGATTAAAAATGATCCTGTCCCCAATTTTCTTCATGACTGTGCATTTCCAAAACTCTTGTTACCTTATCTTTTTTCACATCTAAACAAAGAGCTGCAGTTATGAGTAATAAAATGACTGTTGCTTGATTTAGTATCACACAGTTTTATCTTCTTAGCCTTTATTTACTTTAACACTTTTTAGATTAAAATATTTGTTTAACAAACTAATTTAATTAAACATGACATAAAATGTTAGTATTTCACATCTTCTACCTTTCATTTATGAATAAAGTTTTCCAGACCTTTAGTAACTTGTTTTTTTTTGTGATGCGAGAGCAGCAAGAGCTAAAAGATGGAAGTTTTGTCCTATTATTTTAAAGCCTTGAGTTTAGCATTTTAGCTTTCACCCTTGGGTTTGTTTGAAACCAGTCTTGATAAGCAAGAGAAAATCCAAACAAAAGGTAGCAATTGTTAATCACAGAGGTGAGGCTCTCCTAATCGCGCCAAAACGTATCATCTTTTTTACTCTAACTGGGCCTAGATGTTGCTAATTTCACATCAAATTGTACTGAAGAGGTTTTGACAATAACGACTAAGACCAAAACCCTACATAGATAGTGCAGCTTCATAATTGAGCTCGAAATCCAACCTTCATTAGGCGAAAGCTCCACAGGCATCTGCTCCTTCTTGATGGTTCCCTTCAGCACTCCAGTGTAGTACATGACAGCCACCTGGCTGTGGATTGTTGCCTGGCGGGGCTGTGAGCTTAGATTCTTCACCAGAATTTTCAACTGGGCATCAGCACCCACCCTGGGTCCCTCGCCATCCACCTTTACCTCCACTGACACATCTTCTGCCACTGGTGTGGAATAGACATCTGGCTTGCTGCCATAGCGACTTGCAGTCTCTACTGCAATGCGTTCTTCTTCTGAATCTAGTAGAGGGAGGAGAATGTAAGTGCACCTCATTCTGTCAGAGGTTTCAGGATTTACTGACATATGCAAGAGATATGGTGCAAAGTTTTTCCAATGAAAACAAACAGAGAGCTATATTTAAAGAATTGTGGAGAGCAGGTGAACAGTTGATGAGGGTTGAATAAGTTCAACAAAATGATCTATAGAGAATGACAGGACTAAATCACTGCTTATTAAGATATTTCCAGGTGGTGCAGAAATGATTCTGTCTGTTTCTGGAACATCAGTCTAAGGTAGACTTACAATTAGACAAGTAAAAAATAGCTGCCAGTACCTTCTTCATGTTTGTACAAGGATGTGATATCTGCCCGCTTATCAGAGCCCACCGCTTTGGTGCTGATGCAGTGGCCGACAGCTTTCTTTTCACTGTAGATCTGTTTAAATGTGCCGTCCAGGTTTCTCTGCCAGTAAATTTTGTCACTGTTGACCTGCCAGAAAAATACCAATAAACACAATAAGCTCAAACAGAACAGGTTACCCTTTTTACATATGATTACGTGATTCATCTTTTGCTGACGGTTCAAGCTGCAAAGACTACTTCTGAAATTCTTACATATCTATATCTAGTACATGCAAAACAACAAAGAGTTCAAGAACACGCACTCACCTCAGCAAAGACAAACGGCGTGTCATGTTTAAGGTAGACATGGCCAGAGCGGATGGCGTTCACAGAAGCAGGGCCACAGCGGAAGGTGCCCTGGCTAGTTTCCTGGGGAGTGGCGTCTACGGCCTGCCAGCCTCCATTACCTGGAGGTAAGTCTGGTCTGGCCATCCAGCAGTCATTCCATACGTGGAAATTCCTACAGTTAGACAGAGTTTAGGTATTTTGAATTTAAGTAAATTAAACTGTTCCTTTTAGGTTAATATAATAATACAATTAGCATGTAGTTAGCTTAGCTTAGCATAAAGCAGTTAGCTTGTTTATATGCCACAATTTTACACTTTAATTTTTTGTATAAAATGCAAAGTGTTCATTAGAGACTTTTGGTGGCATTTGTAGATATATTTTACTGACTTTAAACATAGCTGGCAATTTTTGTAGAAGTGAAACACATCTTAACAATTTAATAGGAATTAAGGATATGGGTTTAGTTTTTGTTACATTAGCTACATTCACAACATGTGCCCTGTTCCACAGTTATAGTGAACGGGTGTTCAGGCAGTTATAGGGATATGGAAAATGCAGACAGAATGTCTAAGGGCTCTTGTAGGATACCAGTAATACAGCATAAAAGAACACATAGATACAAGACAAGCCTATGCACTTTTAAAAGAAATTTCAACTTGGGGATTTTCAAGAACATTTTAGAACATTTCTTTAGCATAGGTTTAGATGATTTTCATGGCAGGATGCCATTCTACGTAAAGCTCTATATCTTACCAAACAGAGTCTCTATTGAGATAGTCAATTGGCTCCAAATTCTCATTAAGGTATACATCTGTAGTAAGGGATACGTCGGTATCATGTGCTGACTGGAAGTTGGTCACACTGCGGGAAGGAATGCCAAGGCAGCGCAGCACTAAAACCAAAGACACAGATATAAATAGATCAATTAAAATTTATTTCTGCAAGGCCATTTGATACTTGAGTTAGATTTTCAGATGGTAATACTTTAGGCAGCAAGGAATTTCATTATTCTGGTTGAATGAAAGCAACACATGTGGCTCTATCTGTGACAAATATAGATGGTATGTTAAGAATGCCAATGCAAGGTATTTGGAGTGCATAAAAGCTATGACTTGCTGTCAGGGGCAATATTATGTGCTAGGGTCAGCTAGCTATCATGCAAGCTTCCCTGGATGCACGCACAGTGAATATGAAGTGCTCTATGACAGAGTTACTGTGAGAGCTAATGCAAAGACACAGACTGACAAAAAGCCATGATTATAATAAATTTGTGGATTTGTAATTAAATTGACATCCACACCAAGACCCACTCTTGGGTATTCTTTGCAGCTTTTTTACACACACAAGCCGAACATACAGTACAATCCATTCGCATGCCTTCTAAGGCTTGCGACTGCCTACTGAAGTTTAAGGTTTCACCACAGACACACTCTTAACTTTCTCTCAGTCATCCAGCACCCTTCCTTTTTAATGTTTTTTTCCTCATAATCACCTGTTGTAGTGATCCCAGAGAAGACCCAGCACTGTCCATATGACACAGGCGTTCCATTGGTCGAGTGGTATTTCCTCAGGATCTCCACGCTGCTGCTCCACGCCGTAGGTGAGACTCCATCAGAGTAATCACCTGACCAGTTTCCAACTAGAACACCGTAGTCATCCTGAGCATTTATCTAAAAAGGACACAGTGACACGGTCATTGCATTTCCTGTATTTTTTTCCTACTTTTTCTAGAAAAAACATCTTTCTTTTGTATATTAGCTCACCATGGCAGATATGACCCTGACCACGTTGACCGGATCCCCTCGACCAGATGGCGGCATTTCACTCTTCTCCATGATAAACAGACATGCTTCCAGGATTCCCTCATGAAACTACAATGAAGAAAAAAATTCACTATGAAACCAAAGTTTGGAGAATTGTCCTGTGAACACTGAATACTGTAAAAAAAAAATGAAAACATTTTGTTTTTAAACAGAAATTACCAGCTACTGAAAAACACAATGAAAATATAGGTACTGGGAACAGTTTAAAATAATTCCATCTTCAGCAGGAACAAACAGGGTAAGTGCCACAGGGTCATAATCGTGTAATGATAGCTTAGAAACCAAGCTTGCTCTTCATAGCTTGTACCTGTCCGAAATTCCACGTGCGAGCACCGATTTGTTTCTCCGTTCCGTAGTAAATCCTCCCAGTGTCATTCAGCACATACTCCTTCCTCTCCTCCTCGTTATCCAGGAACACGCTGTCCTCTAGAAACACAGGAATTTGCTCTTATTTAGCTTCATGTCACTGAAAATGTAATCCTCCAAGAACAGGCTTTCAATAATGCATGCACAGTTAAGTACATTTATGTGGTTATCCCTGACGTTCAGTCTAATTAAACCAGGGAATACAAGGAAACCCTTTTTTTAAGTAGATGTTTTAAATTTCTTTTAATGAACGGAAACATTCGAGCTCCCCCCCTGTTTGTGAAAATGACCTAAAATCCCTGCTTTATTCACCTCCTTTGTGACTGAACAACTCAAGAATGTGTTTTTTTCTTACTTATCATGTGAAAAAAGTTCCCAAGGCCAGGAAATGGTTAAGAAACACAATGACTGCATAGATCTTGCAGTGAGGCCCACACTCACTTATGGGAAAAAGTCTGGTTTTGGTGACCTCAGCACTCCAGACTTGGGCGTGTGCCCCTCACCCGAATCTATGTGTTTCTTTTTCCATCCCTTTTTATCTGTTACTGTCACCACCTTGAAAATGCCCATGGGTGGGGACGAGGAACGGGACAAAGAGAAAGAAAGGAAAAGCAGTAAAAGTAACAGACTGTTTGAGATGGACATAAGAAAATGCAAGTGGAAGGAAGAGATTTAACAAAGTATGGGGGGCATAGGAGAGGAAGAGGGGAAGTTATGCTTGGGTGGGAAAAGAAGAGGAGGAGGAGGAGAGAGAGAGTGAAGCATAACATATTGTCTCGAGATTTTAAGGGATGAAGCTGATAGTATCTGGCAGCTGTGATAATTGTGGTTTTCATATCTTGCTAAAAAATTCCTGGAATGTGGGAAGAAATAGATTCATAGAGGAAGATGTTAGGGAGGAGGTCCAAGAGTCAGAGTGAAGGTCAGGTCAGCAGATAGCAAGAAAGGTACAAAACAGGGAGGGAGAGGCATAAAAACGGGAAGGAAATACACACGGAGGCAGTAAAAGCAAGGGAGAGGACAGGTTGTCACCAGCTGTAAGGATTTCTGCGAGCTCGCCCCATGGCGCTTCATACAGTAATTGTAGGATTTTGACTTTTATGAGTGTGAGGGAGAGATTGGTCTAGGGAAGAGGAGATTGAAAGAGGGAAAAGGAGATTGGGCATGCCGCCAAAAGCAGCAACCCCATAATGAAAGACACACAGGCTTTTTATCACAACCAGGTCCACTGTTTTTTCTTTTCTTTTCTCTTTTATTTTGCTGCATTGCAAATGTGCTTTTTTCTGTCGAATATCAAAGAAAAAAAATAGAAGTTTGGGTCTAAGATAGCAGTTCTGAGAATGTACAGCAAGACACTCTACGGTTGAATTTCTTAGTGGAGCTTTGAATAGGGTTAAGATTAGCAGATATAAGCAAGGGCCAGGCTTCACATAACTTATATCAAGGTAAAAAAGCTAAATTAGACATTTGGTCCCTCTTGCTGGCCACTGGCAAGAAGACGATAATAATTCAATTCAATTGTAGTTATATAGTGCTAAATTGGAACAAAAGTCACCTCAATGTGTTTTATATTGTAAGGTAAAGACCATACAATAATAATATATGAGCAAGCACTTTGGCAACAGTGGGAAGGAAAAACTCTCTTTTAACAGGAAGAAACCTCCTGCAGAACCGGGCACAGGGAGGGGCAGCCATCTGTCCTGACTGGTTTGGGGCGAGGGGAGGGAGACATGACTCTGATTATGGGATTTCTAACTGAGGGTTTAATTTGGAAGACATGAAAACTCAGTAACCATGCTGCTTTCACCAGCCCAGAGAAGCTTTACCCACCATGCCTAACAAGTTAGCACAAGTGCTGACCCCTGTCTTTCTAAGAATCACACACTCACAATGCTGTCTGAAGCTCAGCATGTCCATCATGCTGAGCTTCTGTGCCATTGTGAGCTTTCTGTAGAGGCATTTTTTTTTCCTTTTTTCTCTTTGAAAGAGGAAAAGCCCCTCTAGCTGTTGAACCCTTCAAAGAAAAATGTTTTCTGCAGGAGTGAAAGACTACATTGTAAGTCTAACCCTCTAGGAAACTGCATGTGCAACAAACATTGAAAAACTATGAAAGAAAGTTTTTAAAAAAAAGTCAATAACAGACAATTTTTTATTTCAATGAGTGCCCAATAAGTGGCTGAAGAATGTCTTATTGTACCAAGAATTCATATCAAACCAGTTCTACTGAAAAAAGCACAGTACACAAGATTGAATATCACATGAATAAAGCCACATAAAGAGAATTTGAAATATGCACAAAAAATACTCCTTCAAATAAATGGTAATGTATTATCCAAATTAGGAAATAACATAAAATCATTAGGTGACAGTTTCATCCCCTAAAAGCATTACAACTATCTGCTGTTATATTTAGACTGAACCTCACTAGTCCAGATTATTTGATGCTGGCCAAAGTTATGACACAGATAACTGGTGTGGTAATCCTCCAGGTGGTGTGGTCCTTCATCGTTATTTGTCATCCATCCATCCATCCATCCATCCATCCATCCATCCATCTGTTCATCTATCCATCCACTCACCCATCCATCCATCCATCCACCCACCCACCAATGTCACTGGGGCAGCAGTCTCAAGAGAGATGCCCAGACCTCCCTCTCTGCCTCTGCCAGCTCTTGTGGAGGGGGCTTTCCAAGCCAGTCGACACACTTAATGTCTCCAGTGTTTCCCAGGACACCAGGGACAGACGGCCAACTTCTGGAGCTTTATTAGTAACCGAAGCACCTAAAAGGGTTTTTCTTTTCTTTCAGCCATCTCCATTACTTATAGTCCACCCTGGCTTCATTTCCATTGTAGTCTGTGCTACGTGCAGCATTTTTTCAGCTTTTTCTGAATGTATTTTTCTCTGCTGTGCCTCTGTTCTGTAGAAATGTTCCCAATTTACTTGTTTGTTTTCTTAAGTCATGGTGCTTTCAGCTCTTTGAACAGCAGGCATTTAGGCATACACAATTAGCAATCATATCTGCATATCGAATGACCCCGCTAAAGGTCTCCCTCATCTTACACCCAAACGGTTTTGATCTCCAATGCAGGTGAAAGTCGTGCTCTCACTTGTGGCTAAACCAAATACGGCAGAAGTTTTGGTCCAAGCCGGGGGAGTTGCATAACAGACCACAGTCACATAGACACACATAGTCACGCTGTTGCTATTCATGGGCAACAACACACTCGTGGACTGACTTGGCCTCTATCACCCAAGTGTAATATTATACCAGAGCTGCTCTAGGAGATTAAATGGCTATACAGGCATCCATTTTATCTGAGTATTCGCAGTTAGACAGATGGAATCTGCTGCTCCCAGAAAAATATTGACTTTTTCAGATACTCAATTCTACCTAAAGCCTAACATAAATCCAGATAGTAAGTAATTCATTTCTGGAATGGTATGTAAGGTCACACGTCTTCTCTTTTTTTATTTTTCCAATCATCTGTGAGTCGTCTTCTTTCCTTCCTGTCTTCCACATTCCCTGGCTTCAATCCACCCACACCCACCCCCGCCTTCCCTGTTCCCATTGGTGCCAGCTTACCTTCACACCAAGGGTTGAAGAGCATGACAATGTTCTTGCTGGAGGTGTAAGTAGTTGTGGCGTCGCCTTTGAGCGAAGAAGTTGTCACAGTGAGCTCGTAAAGGCCGATCACAGCGTTGGCTGGAGAGTTGATGGACAGCTTGATCTTATTGCCGTTCTGCTCTACAATTTTGGCCTCCCAGCGTTCATCTTCCAGGTGCTTCACCAGCGGAATGATGACATGGGTCCCTTTGGATACCAAGGGCAGGGAACCTACACCAAACAGATACATAACCATATTATTCCCTTTTTTTTTTAATTTATTTGTATATTTCTACTCAAACTACTAATAGTCAAAGCACTTGTTTAATAATTGAAATCCTTCTAAATGTTGCAGAGATATTAACTAAGGTTGAAGATGTTGAAGATGTTACAGCGAGTCAGAGAATCCAGGCTTAGTGTTGTGCTTGTTAGCATGAACAGGTAAAAATGGAGGCTGAAGCCGGACTGTTCATCACTGATCTATCACATGCTGAAGTTCGGGCTGCTGGGCTGGGGTTAGCATTCACTCTTTATCATCACCCTAGGTTCTTGGCTTGTGTTAGCATGCTATCTGTGCAGATGCTTGCAAAGAGCTGAAGTTGCATTATAGTATTACGTAGTTATTTCCGTTCTGGACGCAGTATGCACTTTACCATCATGCTCCTGTCAGTTTATGCAATAAAGATAAAAGTAACGTCCATAGCTCCACCATTTTCCTCCTCTTGACAAGAACTGAAATCAGCTCAATGTAGCATGTTTTTTCTTTTTTTTTCTGTCTGGGTTGTGCAAATAACGAAAAAGCTTTGTAATGCAAGTGACAATAAACTTGTAATTACTGGATTGTGTAAATGTAATACGATAGAGCAACATGTTACTTTGGAAAGCGTTACATTCAACACTGATTGCGATGACAAAGGATTTCAAAAATAGTTGTAAACAACTGCAACTTCTTTGCTAAAATGCTGCCACCTTGTGGCAGAGGTTCTTTTCAAATACACTTTATGAAGAGTTATGAAGAGTTTTTACAAAAAGTACATTTAAATTCATATTCATGGCATTCAATGTTTTAAAGACAGTCAGAGAATTTGTCTTTTAAATGTAAAACTTGAGTCAGGACACAGTCAGGTGTATTTGAGTGTACTGTGTGTTTATGAGTGCATGCACATAACCTTGTCAAGGATGTGGTAAAATATCTTTGCTTTATGTTTTTGAATGAAAATTTAACCTGCACAGCTCCAAAAAGTGTTTTCCTGTTTTCGCTTATTTGTAATTATAAGCTAACCTTGAAGATTTTGATCAAATAAGGCAGCAGCAACAACAGCAAAGAGACCTCCTTACAAAATCTGGTTGCAAACCTTTTCACATCACAGTAATTTTATGTTATTTCCAGTGTATGGCAACCATTCCAAACTGTAAACCACATGTGTATGATAGTCTTTGGCCCAGCTATGTGTGGGTTCCAAGAGTAAACACTAGCGTGGGCCTGGAAAGCCTCCAAAACTCCAGGATGTGCACATCTCCACAGAAAGCGTGCACATTTGTGTGAGTGATTATTTAGCTTTAATGTTCCTTTAAATGTGTTTTTCTCATGGACTAGCAAATCCATTAGTTAGATTAAAACCCTCTGGATGTTCTCCTCCGAGCTGCTTGCTTTGTGCAACCCTGCTGGACGACCATTCGTCCAAACAGAAATACGGAGTTTACCAAGAAACCATTGTTCTCCATTTGACCGCATCCAGGACACCCCTCCCTTCCTCTCTCACCTCTGAATACTTTTTTTTAGCATACTTTTTTTTAAAGCATGAAAATGATGAAAAACAGTGTCTCTTTTCTGCTCAAAACAACAGCTTTGAAAGCTTTACTGATAAAAATCACTGCTTTTGGAGCAACACTTCGAGCCTGTTCCCTGCCCACTGATGGCAGCCAGTCTGCTGAATGTGGAGAGCTCAGACACTTTGTTTCTTTTTTCCTCCCCTCTCCCCATGAAGCTATCACAGCAGAAGGAGCAAATCACTTCTGGGTGGTGATGTATTGCCAGAGTGTGTAGCGTGAGGTCTGTAAATACCAGAGGGAGGTGTCCAGTGTACCGAGGCCTGGAAACTGTTAAGACTGCGGGCTGCTGGGTGGAATCCAGAACTTGTTGTGCAGCCATGAGCTGCTGCTGAAATCAAATGTGCTAGCTATGCACAACATTTGGACCGTATTTCCCATGATTTGAGCAGTCGCTGGTTTCTTTCTTGTGTTTGCAAATGAAGCTAATTTTGGTTAAAAGGGAATCCAACAATTTTAAACGCAAAAAAACGTTTACAAATAGTTAGTGGCACTTTTCCTATGAAAAATCGAAAGCAGCGTTTTATTGAATGACTTACCTTCCAGTAACATCAGCGTTAAATGTTATCTCCCACATGCAATGTTTCCCACATACACTTAATTACAATGTGCATCTGTTACTTTTAAAACTGTCTTTTAAATGGCTAAAAAAAACTATTGATCATACTCATTGTTACAATTTTTAATTTATTTTTCTTCATATTTTGGTTTTAAAAAGATGGACACTGTCCAGCCACTGGCTTCATACCTGTTTTCAGCTCCAGGTACAGCTTGTCAGTGTCAGTACTGAAGGGCCTGTTGAGCTCAACCTCTATCTGGAAGGTCTGGCCTCTGCGAAGGATCAGCTCATCCCGGTGATACAGGTCAGTGTGATGCTCCTGTCTGTTCTGACCTGCCTTGGAACTCAATAGGTCCACCGAACACACTGACAGCTTCCCTTCTAACAGGAGAGGAGTGAATATCAGATTTGATGCCAAAGACAATGTCATGTTTTCACACAGTTTAAAATAAGTGTCGTTACCATCTGTTTCCTTTGCCTCTCCGTTCTCGGGCTTCGGCTTGGGGGGATCTACGATGGCGGCAGGGGTTGGGAGTTTGGTGAATTCCACCTTATCTGTGACATCATATGAGGTGGTGTTTGGGTGCTTACAGCAGCACGGGCACATCTTTCTGAGCCACCATAGACAGCCCCCCTCCTCCCGCTTCTTCTCACCCTCATTCTGGATGGTCAGCTCCACCCTTGTGGGTGGGGCTGCTCCGGGGAATCGCCCAATCTCTGATGTAGTTCTTACTGTTAACCGCTCACCTGGCATTCTGGAAAACACATGAAAAAATGTTAACTGTAATTCTAAAGAGAAGAATTTTGGGTACCGATTATATGCACTATTCTCTGGTCTTTTAATTCACTAAAATTCAATTTTCATTCAGTTTTTTTTTTTTTATCGGCCAGTTCCCAACATATATATAGTAAAGTAAAGACCCCACAATAATAGAAAGAAATGAGATTAATTAAGTACACATACAGTTAATATTTTATGCCAATTAACTGCTCACGAGTAATGAGAGGCCACAGGCAGTCCAATTTATTTCATATCTTTGTAATAAAAACAATGCGATGGACTAAATGAACAGTTTCCTTGTTTCTTAGTTTCATTAATTACTACATTCCTGACATGGACTCTACTCAGCTGCAAGTCCTTCCCGAACAATTTCGGGGAATTTCGCCATTCTTCCTTCTTAGGTGCTCTGCGTGAGCAAACATAACTGCTTCGAGCAGCTGGATTCAATCTGCTGCGCCTCAGCTGCTGGAGAGCAGTGTAGCTGCTGTGCTCGTGATGTCTTTTTGCGTGCACATTGACTGCAAGCGCAAGTGGACAGGGTCGTGCACCTTACGAGCATTTATCATACTGTCACATCCCCACCCTCATACACTGCACTAATAATCACAGCGGAATGAGATCGTTAGTCTCTTTGAGGATTGGCCTGACCTTCCTCGCTCGTTCTTGTGTTTACTAGAATGCAAATCTGAGGGAGGAGACGGTTTTCCCTCAGTCCTTCTTTTGGTTTTACCATCTGCATCTTCTCTCTATCAAAACAAAATCACAAGCTGTGTGTGACATGCAACTTTGCAAATGTGAAAGCTATTTTGTTTTTCAAAAACAAACCATCAGTGAAGTTTTGTTAGCACATGTAAACTGTAATGAGCTGCAGTGATGCACATTGTTGGGAGAAAACAGTGTTGTTAATGAAACGTTAATAGCAGACACGTGGTTTATAGAGCAATACAATTTAAATAGCCATGAACATATATGTATGTGCATGTGTGTGCTTGTTACCAGTTCTTACTGGTGAATGGACTGGTTCTTATATAGCTCTTTTCTACTCTACTTGAGCATGTGGCTTTCACCCATTCATTTATTAATTCATCAAAAGCACGTTATTTCTACGTCTGAGTGCTTTTTGATCTAACATTAGCATACACAGTCAGAAATGTGGTTGTTCAGTATGTTGCCCAAGGATACTTTAGCATACCGACCTGTGCAACCAGGGACTGAACCGCTAATCTTCCGGTTACTAGATGATCGGCTCTACCTTCTGATTCACAACCACCTAAACATGAGCTGCCGTCAGCAGAACATGAGCATCTTTACTTCTAGGCAATGTTGATACTTTTGAACTTAAGCATGAACTGTACTGTAGTTAACTAATAATATGCTCCTTAGCTTTGGGGGTAACCCTAAGTTTCCCTATAAACAAGATACAAGGTAACATTTAGGGCTTACTTTGGAGATCATTTCTAGTTATAGTGAGTGAGCTGTGATTGGACAGTTACCACACATTCAATCATTTCTGTACATAACTTCAGCATACCAGTTTACAGGTACAGGAATGTTTAGATGATAACGCAGACAGATGGGAGCTGCTGATCCAGTGTGGCTGAGCTGATTTTCAAGGGTAACTATTTGCATGTCACGACACAGGGTGGAAAGGGCAGAGGTCAAAGGGCAGACAACAGCTGAGGAAGAGGGAGGGGCGCCTCATAGCCTCAAAGCTTTTAAAATCAATGCATGTGTGCACCATCTGTGTGTCGGTCACGTTTTGTATTTTTTAACTCTGTGGCTTCCTGAGTTCATCTGAATCCTGACGGAAAATGATAAAGCTGTATGTTTTTCACACAGTGACCTCACCCAAAGCTCAAGTCGATACTGTTAGGCTCACTGAATCTAAAAAAAAAGGAAGCGAGGCAGAAAAACAAACACCCTCCATATGAGCTATTACAGGATCTTTTGAAACATAACTAAGTAAACAAGCAACTTACAAGTGTTTTTTGTCCTTTTTAAAATGAAGCCTTATCTTCCTCTTGCACCAAGGTGGTCTAAAATTGGCCAATTAGAGACATCCACTGAACCCCCTAGAACCATGAAAAGTCATTTCACAAGCCTAATTTTTTGGCAGCCTTTCTCTTCCCTTGCTCACACTCTAATGCACAAACTTAAAATGATCTATACTGTAATACAGCCATCAGCCAAGCTTGAAATGAAGTATTCTTCATCTCGTCCTCCCTTTGCTACTCTCACTACCACTCATATCACTTTCTTCCATTGTACTTTGCTCTGTATCTCCGCAGTCCTGCACTTTTCTTCCAGTTTTTGTTAGCATGGCTGGTATGCCTACTAGGTTCTGATATGCCCCCTACAAATTTAACTTTATCTTTTCTACAGTAAAACCAGCTTCAACTGGCTTGTTTGTCCAGTGAGTTTGGTCCCATGTAAAACTGACTGATTATTAAACTGTCGCAACAAATCCCTGGAGTTCCAGTGTAATTTTTTTTAAGTACATAGAGATATTGCTTAAATCCTATACACTACACATCGTCTAGGTCATTGAGAAAAGAAAGGGATGAGCTGCAGCAGCTGGCTGCCAACCAAAAAAGCTGAAGCCATGAAAATACCTGAACTAATTGACTGTGTTTGTTTGATTTTAAATGAACGTAGAAAACGTTTAAACAACAAAAAACGTCTTAGAGTTTGGAAGGTGGGGTCACCAGACATGTTCTTTCTACTGGACACAAATTAGATGAGGTGGCTAATTGTAATGATGAACATAGCCCTCAAATTCGAGCTTTCCTAACTTGTTTTTCCCCGTGGAGAAAGATCCAGTAAGAGTTTAACTGTAACAAAACCAAGAAAGAATGCGCACAACTTTACGCCTGTGCCTGACTTCAACATCTGTCTTAAGAAAACAAAATGCGAGTGGTTGAAAAACTTACTTTCTCTGTATGGATTCTTCTTTGGATCAACGATGAGACCTGGATGTCGTCGTGAGTAGCTATCTCTCAGCCTGTGAGAACTTTTGGAAACTTTTCGTCTTAATGCGCTCCGTTCGTGGATCAGAATTTTAAGGGTGTCCTGGAATGTCCTGCGCGGTACTTAAAGCTGACACACACACCTCTGTTTCACCCCGCTTAGCACCACCGCCCCGCCCTTGTTTGAAGTTTCCCAGCAGCTGACGTTTGTGCACGATGCGTCAGAGAGCGTAGAGTGGGACAAGGCGGAGGACCCAAAGTTTCGTTGTGCAACACTTAACAAAACTTTATCGATGGAGGGAAGGTGACAGACAGTGAAGAGGAGAGATAAGGATGGCATGCCTGAAGAACTATTTTTTGTGTTTGCTTTATACGGCGCATACAATAGGACCAAAAATAACAAAAATCTCATGGATGTTTTCAGTTATGAACTCAGGAGTTCAAGAAAGTGCTGATTTAGCCAAACTTCCCTTTTTTCTCTTCTCCTTTTCTTGATTGCTGTACAGGAAAACCTCAAAGTCAAACCCATTCTGACCTCTGACCGCGCAAAGTTTGAACTTCATAATAACCAAGGCATAAGTTCATCCCGGGATAATTGAACACCTATTCGAGGTTTTATGACTCATAGGCCAATGCAAGCAAGCAGAGTGAATAACTGAAGTTGCATCAGCAGCTTTGTGGCTTGGCAGAATAGAATTATGAAGTCATACCAGATCGTGGTGATGATGACACAGACAGCCCGATAAATATCAAAACCTGCCCTCCTGTACCAATCAGCATTAGATGGTTGCTTAATCAGCTACATCTAGAGGAGAGAAATGCTCTCACAGGCTACAGTAAGGCATTACAAATTACTATTACTTAGAATTAGGGCTGCCATAAGCAAGCAAAATATTTAGGTGATGTTAAATGTAAATGTTGGTCTTATTATTATCAATATATCCTTTAAACATGTTTCCGGATGAAATTGCAGATGCATAAGTTTAACCTTTTAAAAATGTGGTGCATATGTTGATGTATACAGTTTGATATTCTTGTAGCTCAATCCACGTTTAGGCGATAAAGTATATCACTTTTTTTTCATTTCACTGTGTTCTATAGCTACAATTTCACCTGACATGCTGTGTACTGTATTTAAATTTAAGCAGTAACAGACATTACAAGTTACTATAGCAATGCCGGGGGTTTTCCTAGGCATGACAATTAAGTCACTTGGTTCCCCTCTTTTATAATGGGAGAACCTCTGTAGTATTCCAGATCTTTGGAATTTTTGTGACAAATATGAACCACTAAGAACAGCTATTTTCATACTTTCCATGTTCACAGTCAAAACATTCAGCCATGCTGGAAATCATTAGGACACATCTGTCCCCGGACCACACGTGTTGCCAAGTTTCATTGCAGCTAATCTAATTGTCAGTGAACATGTGAGCTTGTGGGGATACAAGAAGTAAAGTCCGGGTTTTACCTTAGGAAGAGTATCCTGATGTTGGTTTACAAAGTTTTAAAATTTTGGTGTGAACCTTCGTAATTCTTTATTTTTTAAAGATATTCAAGAGTGAACTTAAGTGTTGGACTAAATGTACCTTCGGCAAAGGTACAAGTTAGGTGCCAGCATGGCTGAGTAACAATGAGTTAAGGCATGTTTTTGCACTGTATGCCTGAGCGAAAACTTTCAATCTGTCAGTCCAAGAGGGGAAAAAACGTAGAAAAGAAAAAACAGCATTGACCATTCTGGAGGTGGTAGATTTAATAGTACTTTATCTTCTGTCACAGGACGCAGGCATATTGGGTCAAGCAGTCTGGGTTGGGGTTGAAGAGAGAAGGCCTGCAAAATGCATCAGCAAAGACACAGTAAACAGCACAGCCGGAACATGAGTTTAACATTTAGTTAGGGACTTAATGGAACACAGAAATGTATTCATAAATGTCTAATCTAAGAGAGAGGGCTGTTATTATTTGAACCATTTGATGCAGAAATTAAAGGCCTAATGCATTTTTTTTACAATATAATTAGAAATAGCAGCTAAGAACCATAGATTTTTGTCATGATTTGTATGTTGAAAAGTGCAGAGGGTTTACCAGTCTTATTCTTGATTCTGTTGGCTTGGCACTAGCATGATAAATGGCTCAGACAACATTTGCGGCTTCTGCAGAGCGGTGGGCGTGAGAGGAAACATAAAGGTGACTTGGGTTCGCTGAGTATCTGAGTATAACAGATGGGACTGGGCCCTTGTTCTTATATTGTACTTGGGAAACTAAACACCCAGCAGCGGGCCAAAGGAAACTTCCTGGCTGTGAGAGACATAACTTATTAGGAGTTGGAAGAAACCTTTTATTTGTGTGTCATATACATTTTTTATTAAGAACAAAAAGTGAAAAACATTGGCTGTCATTTATTGTATATCATTTTACAATTGGATTTTTTTTTTCTCAGCAAACACACAGCAGGTTACTGTCGGACTGACCCTGTGTCTGTGAGAATATTTTTGGTATGTGTTGTATTGGTGTGTCTTTGTTAAAAAGTAACCAAGTTCCACTGACTTTTTTCAGTGGCGAGAGGATTAAAAAAAGCACAGAGAGCCAAAGCACACATTATGAGTTTAACATAAGAAGAAAGGGAAAATAAAAAAAGACCATGTTATGCTAAAGGAATGCTTAAGGCAGTTCTTTTATCTGTGGGCTGGATAGCTTTTTTTGCATAAAGACTGGAAGACAAGTGGAAGAGGAGAAGTAAAGCATTTTGAATAAAAAAAGAATATAAAACTAAAAAAAAATCAAAACCCCTCATTAAACATTTGTAATGAAGAAGCAATCAGTTGCCATTTGCCTCTTTTTATTTTCTCTGTATTCAGTCTTTATTTAGGAAATTATGTAATTAATTAGATAATTTGTCTCTTATGTGTTAATTCATAGACATAGATGATGTTGTGTAGAAGTAGCCTGGAAACAGATCAGTTTAGCATAATAAGGGGAGTTTAAAATAATAGAGGGCTAGCTAAAAACAAGAAAATCAATTAATAAAATAAAGTAAGTAAAAAAATATTTCTAGAATGTTTCACATAAATTTCTTTAAAAAAGCTACATTGTATTACTAAGCTAATTTTTTATTTTTTTATTTTTACCTTCGGGATAGATTATCTTGATCTGTTCTAAGTTCTGAAGCTAAGTGTCTTATTTAGCAACCAGACAAAGTTGTTTGTTGGCTAGAAATAGAACCACTCAAGCTCAGGAAAAGAATGTTTTATACACTTTATTCCTTTAAAAGCTTAAGAAGATAGACGTGGATTTAGCTCTAGGGTGGAGAAATAAATCCATTGCAAAAGTTTTCTCTGTAATATTAATCCTGCATCCTATCTGATCTGATTACATCTTCAACTCGTGATGGATTTTTACGTTTAATCACTCATTTCGTAACCTTTACTTTGAAAGTGTACGTGCTCAGTTTCTGGGTTGCATCACACTTTTTCAACTTTTACTGCTCGGCATTTAGGTAACAAGTGTTTGCAGACAAGTCAGGACCTTCCATGCAAACTTAAGGTGACTGCAGCAATCTGCCATTGACCAAAGCGATCATAAGGCGTTTTCTTTCTTTTTTTTGGTACAGCCTCTTTGCAACCCATTGACTGGCAACAACCTCCAGGAACCATTTATCAACCAGTTTGGAAATACACATCTTTCCCTTTGCAACTGGTGATTGTATCATGTTCAGTATGTTGAGCTATTTGCTGGAAGTCTTTGTGCAAACACAGCTATTGCCTCTTGGTGGCATTTAAAAACAACAGAGGTCTGAGGCACTTGATTTCACTTTTAAGCCCCTTAGGCTGGATCCATCTTTTATGCTGTCTATGAGCACTCCTTGGGCTCAGTGGAGAACTTGTTTACCAAATACTTTTATGGACACAACCCTTGTACTTTATTTGGTAGGGAGTTTGAAAAACACACCTTTTGAACAAGCTAGCTGTACCCCTTTTTATGTTAGGCTTGTTGCCATCACCAGCATCTAAACTAGTTTACTCATAGTGTGACTCCACCTCATCCACCCATCTTTAATAAAGAATTCAACCCTGAGATAAAGAGAGATGTTTCATTAAGCGTGACACAAACGTCATACCTAAAGCCTGGTAAATGGGAGTGGAGGATTTAACATTCAAAGTTCTGCTGTTGCCCCGATTAACATGACTCAACAAGATTCAGCGCATGACATCAACAGCTGTCTGTTTTATAGTGATGTGATGAAATCTGTCTATGCTGCACGCCTGCATAGACGGGATTGTCTTTTTTCATAATTGAAGCATTCCTTCACAGTTTGCCATGTTCAAGCTGATTCATGCACTGCTGCAGTTGCTCTGGAGATGAATACAAACAGACAGAGCCGACAGGAACTCTGCTGGAGAACAAACAATATCTCTGTTCTCCTGCGTCCCCGCTATCAGTTCTTTGTTCCCACAATTTAAAATGAGCAAATCCAGAGAAAGTAAGATTCTCTTTCATGCATGATTCAGCTCTCCAAGTTAAAGGCAGAGATATGTGCTTTCTGATAGCAAGTACCCTTTTTCAGGGACTTATCTAAATCGAGAGTGGATCACAGAGTGTGTTCTATAGTATACAGATTGCAAAACTGACCGGACATTGTCTGTCTAAAACTTTATGGTTGTATATACTGCTTGAGCTCTTTTCAAGTGGAACTAGACTAATTGGAATGCAATCAAACCTGTAGTTAGGCTGTACAGGCTGAGTGGTAAAGAGATTTAGATCTGGTTGTTGCTTAGAGCTAAATGCTAATGTAAGCAAGCTATCAAGCACAGGCTGCTCAAAAAAAACCCTTTTCATTAATCCCTTTAGGGTAATTGTTGCTCCAGATTGTGGAAAGTGAAAATTGTATAGCTTAAGCACGAAGGATGTAATGTAATGTCCTGTAATGTTCAGCGGAGCCTTTAGTCTATCTCATCCTCTGGGTGGGATAATGATGCCCCTCTAGCAAACCAAACACTATTTAAAAGGTGGGAGACATAAATGGTAGAGAGAAGTTTTGACAGTATCCTCCACTGCACGACTGTGTAGTGATTGTCCAGCTCTACCCACAGGACTGAGACAGCTTTCTGAACGTATTTGTTTAGTCTCCTTGTATTGTGCAGCTTTAGCCTCAATGGCCAATTAAATGGAAGCAGATTCTACATACTGA